AGTCTCTTTTTTGTTTTTCTTTCATGACACTGACATTTAAAAAGAGTGCAAGACCTTAGTTTTGCCAAATGTCTTTCAATTTGGCTTTCATAGGTTCCTCATGTTTGAATTCAGGTTAATATTATTGGCAGGAATATTACATGTGATGTGTCCTTTTCAGAGAGCATTATTGTCATGAGTCACATGATTTCAGTGTGTCCCCTTTTCTAATTTTTAAAATTATTTTATTGAGGTCATATTGGCTTATAACATTATGTAGATTTCAGGTGTACATTATTATATTTCAGTTTCTGTGTAGCCTGCATCGTATTCACCACCAAGAGTCTAGTTTTTATCCATCACTCTTTTACCCTCCCTCAATCCCCTTCCCCTCCAATCTGTTCTCCTTATCTAAGTGTTTGTTTATCTTCCACATATGAATGAAATCATACAGTATTTGTCTTTCTCTGCCTGACTTATTTCGCTCAGCATAATAAGTCAGGTCCATCCATGTTGTCGCAAATTCAGTGTGCCCCCTTTCTGGTATTAATCTTTGATTGAGGTAGTGTCTGCCAGATTTCTCCATTGTAATTCCCTTTGTAATTAATAGATAATTGCTGGGGAGATGCTTTTGATACTGTGGAATATCCTGTTTTCCAAATAAACTTTAAGCCAATGGTTTTAGCATCCATTGATGATTCTCAATTAATTATTACTGTGGTGGTTATAAAGTGGTGATTTTTCTATTTCTATCATTCTTAGTACATTTTTAGTTGGCATTCTTTTTTTTTTATTTTTGGTGAGGAAGATTAGCCCTGAACTAACATCTGTGCCCATATTCCTCTATTTTTTGTATATGGGACGCCTCCACAGCATGCCTCGATGAGCGGTGTATAGGTCCACGCCTGGGATCCGAAGCAGTGAACCCCCGGCCGCAGAAGTGGAGCACGTGAACTTAACCACTACACCACCAGGCCGGTCCCTTTAGTTGGCATTCTTTTGTAAAGAAGAGCTTTCCCCTTTCCCCACATCACATGTAAAAAATAATTTTTAATTGAGAGGTAATCCATATACGGTGAAATGCATATAAAGCTTAAGTATTCAATCAGTTTTGATGAATGCACACAAACAATTCAGACCAATATGAAAATAGAACATTTCCATAAATTCCCTTATGCCCCTTCCTAGTCAATCCATCTCCTCCTGAAGCAACCACTGATCTAATTTTTTTTTTTTACAGGTTTGTAATCAATTTATTTTTTAAAAATTTTTTATTTATTGCAGTAACATTGGTTTATAACATTGTATAAATTTCAGGTGTACATCATTATACTTCTATTTCTGCATAGATTACATCATGTTCACCACCCAAAGACTAATTACTATCACCACACATTAATACTGCTTATTAGGACTTCATATAAAAATGGAATCACATGATATCTATTAAGTCTGGCTTCTTTCACTTAGCATAACGTTTCCAAGATAGATTCATTCTGTTGCACTCACACTTTTTTAAAAGTTTTGTTTTTTTTCTATTAGTATGAACTAATGGATTTTTTAAATTTAATGTTTTATTCCTGTCATTCACTTCGAAGTTCTAATTATTCCAAAATTGGCCAGTGGGAGCCTCTTTAAGCTGATGCCTGTCTTTTTGACTTGTCTCCATTAGTTTTTGTGAATCTCCTTACTTTCTGATACAAAAGTATGATCCAGGTTCACCTGTGCTTTCTCCCCCCTCAGCTGTTGGATCAGCAGTTTCTCCAAGGAGAAGTTTCAGTGGGGAATGGTAACTAGAAACCAAGATCTGGGTGCCATGTGAGCACCTTGCTACTGAGATTTTCTTGCTTCCAGGCTATTTCAGGGGACATAGCTATCTATATATTGAACTACACAAGCACACACAAAAACCTCTAAACACTAATGAGTTTCTTCTCCTTCCTCTCCTCTTTATTCGTATCTCCTTTCTCCATAGTGAGAACCCTGGTCCCCACCCCAGCAACATCAATAACTAACTTGCTAAATCCTACCATAGACACCAAATACCTTTGCAATTGTCATAACAATATTACCACTAAAAACAGAGTTACTAAGTATAACTCGAGATTTCTTTTTTCATTTTTTTTTGCCCTTAGAGCGTACAATGAAAGTACTGTTAAAAATTTTCTTGGATTCTTCTTTTTCTTCTGTGTGGTTATATCAATATTCTATACAATTAGGTTCATTTGTATCTGTTTGTAACAATTTTGTATTCAAGGATAGGGAGAAACCTATCCTCTTGGATTTAATCTTATTTTTTTAATGTGTGTAAATGACTAAAATGGTTCAAAAGTCAAAACTATAAAAGGTATATTCAGGGAAGTTTCATTCCCTTCCTATCCCTTTAACCCTGTTCTTGTTTCTTGTAGGTAACCAATTTATTGGTTTCTAGTTTGTCTTTCCTGTATTTCTCTTTGCAAGGATAATCATATATATAAATTCTTTCTTTCTTACAAATAACTAACATTTTATATATACTCTTCTGCATTTGCCTTTTTCATTTAACATATCTTGAAAGAATCACCCCATATCAGTTCTTAGAAATCTTCCTTGTTCTTTTTCAGATGCACGGAACTTTACTGTGTGGATGTATTGTAGTTTGTTGAGCAATCTTTCTTGTGTGAACATTTAGTTTTTTCTCAGTATTTTAATGAATAACTCTGTGCACATGTATTTTATTATTGTTAGAGGTGTATCTTCAGGGTAAATTTCTAGATTGGGTTTGCTGGGCCCAAGGGTAAGTGCATATGACATCTTGCTAGATATTGACAAATTCGCTTCCACAGGGGTTGTGCTCTTTTGCATTCCTACCAGTCTTATAGGAGTGCCTGTTTCCAGACAGTATCACTGACAGTTTGTTGTCAAGATTTTGGATTTCTGCCAATTTGACTGATGAGAAATGGTATTTCAGTTGTTTTAATTTGTATTTCTCTTATGAGTGAAGTTGAACATCTTTTCATTTAAGGGTTATTTGTATCATTTTTTGTGAACTGTCTCTTCATGTCTTTTACTAATTTTTTTGGTGAATCTTTGATCTCTTTAAAAATTGATTTTTGAGTAGTAATTAAACTTTTATTACCACATGTGGGGTTCTTTAAAAGCATGCACTTTACATTTCTGTCACGTTACCAATACTAAGAGGTTTTTTTTCTTCAGCAAGCTGTATATTGCTGGAAGTTAGGAGCTTGCTTTCACACAAACATTTGAGGGCCACTCAAAGGCAGCCTGCAATCAATTTTAAATGAAGTTATTTAAATGACTTCTGTCAATGGAAGTGAACATGCCAGTGATAAAGAAACCCCATCTTGTTGAAAATAATAGGGTACATCCACATACGCTAAACTAGAAAAGTCAGAGAGAAACCACGGTCTTGTCTTAAAAGACATACTATCCAGCTTTTACTGCTAAAAGTGACCTGATAGCAGTGGCTGTAACAGCAGCAGGACTTTTGCTCACTCTCAATGGTCATGTACATCCCTAGTGCGCAGATTTTGGTCTTTACTACTGCTCTGCACAAAAAGAAACTAGAACTCTTTGGGCAGGAGGTGGGAGAGGAAGCTAATCTTATGTCTGAGAGAAGGGAAAAATTCGGGATGGGCTTGGAACATTTTACTTCCAAGAATGAGAACGTTTTTAAGGATAACAGATACAGTGCTAAGAGTTAATGGAGCTTCCACAGGCTAAGTTGTCACAATTTGAGCATTTTTAAAAATAGTTAGACCTGCTTGAATATATGAGGTCAAGTGTTCAAAATGATACTCAAGAGCAAAGTTAATATAATCAAGTGTGTTAAAATGTAGTTACAAAAGAATGACTATAACAGTATGTTTCATTATTGATCTTAAAAATAAGCATTCCTTTTTCTTGCTAAGTATGTACATATATACATACATGTATATTTATGGTCCTGTTTAATCAGTTAAGAATAAACATAGGGGTACCAGCACCTTAACTATGTTAAGTTTATTCTTAACTGATTAAACATAAGGGTATTCTTATTTTGGGTTGGATAAGATTACTAAAACCTGAGGAAGGTATACAAACAGTACATGGTACAACAACCTAAGCCTAGGAATATGAAAAATTGGAACCCTGGGAAAGTGTCCAAATGAGGATAAGAAAAAAATTAAATCCATGGAGTTAACATTTTTACGACTAGTTTTGGTATAATTATTTTGATATTCTGGGTACCTCTTACTTGTTTCTTAAGATGTTTAAAGCATTCAATAATATTTGAAATTTTAGGTTTGTGATTTTAATGAAATGTTTAGATATGTTTAAATTTGAAGTCAGTGTTTAAAAGAGTGGGAATATCTGATTTTAGAAATTCCTAAGTTTTTATTTACTAGTCACACATCTGTGAATAATTAGAGGACTGTTGTCTGTTTAAACAATGTTAGTTGATTTCTTAATTAATAAACTGAATATTAATTAAAATACAAAGCATAATAATTTTTTATCCAAGCCCACAAGCCCTTTGGACATAAGAGAATCTGTCAACACGATCATCCTTTAATATTCTGATATTCTGAGAAAATGAGTCACACAGATTTTGATGCTGAGCATTAATCTTTCATTTGATTAATTTTAATATATTTATCAAATGTTTTCAGAGTGTTCTCAAACACTGTTCCAGACACTGTTGTATCCATTGGATTAGGAGTAAGATGATGCATGTTCTAGTGACATTTCAGTCTGAGAAACTCTGAGTAATAAACCATTTATTATTATGTCTAAGCTTAAGTCTCTCTTTTCATAAAAGAAGGGCAATAACACCTGGTTGGATGGACCAAATATATGTGAAAGGGTAATGTCCTGCCCTCCTAGACAGAAATAAGTTGTAACAAACAGGTTTTTGACTGAGTAATATTTCTCTGGCTCCCCTACTCCAAGCACCAGTATTTTGATGTAATTAATATATTTAGGGTTCACGCCTTAACTTGGAATATTTTGAAGAAAACAAAGGACAACATGAGGATGAATTCACATCAGAATGACATAATTTACTGTACAATTAACATAAGCATAATCATTTATGACCCCAAGGAATATATAACAGGCTTGTAATTTAAATTCCTAGTTATGAAGAATTGGTGAAAATCCTTGGCCAACTGTGGTCTGGTTCAGTCCAGACACGTCTTTCTGGGATTGTCCAAATTCTGCTGATCCTCTTCTGAAAATCCCTTATCGTTCTTGTTTTTCACCTGTACTGAGATACAATGCCTTGTATTGGAGCCTTTAGGACTCTTTGTGGAATACTCGGTTTTCTTTGTTCCTGGTTGCAAAACTAAACTTTAACGAAAGCCTTTACCAATTGCAATTAATCATTACTTCCTGTCTGAGACTTCACCTTGGTTCATTCTCTCTCTTCCCAAAATCTGAGTGCCCTATATTCTGCCTCCTTATGGCAAATGAATGTTAAGTGTAGCTCCTTTTGGTGAACAGACACTTCCAGAACTGACCTGCCCTGAAAATGGATCTCCAATACAGTTATTTGAACACAAAATACTATTAGAAATCCTCCTTGACTACAGTAACTCAGGGTTTTATTAACTATTTCACATCCACTGATGCATGGGACATAAACGTACTTTGAAAAATTTAACTTCTGTGATGAAATGAGTTCACTTTATTACTTTCTTGGTTTTTAGTATTTTGCTTTTTTAAAATCTTTAAATAATTTCAGCTTTGACTTAAGGCCTATAAAATCTAGTCCTTCACCGGGAAGAAAACCAGGGAAGCCTTGAGCTAGAAGATATGTTAGAAGAAAGATGAGAAAGCAAAGGGACTACTCTCTTACCTTAGCCTCACAGCTTCTTCAGCCATGCCTAAGAAGACCGAAAGAAAAACAGAAAGCCAAGACACTCAAGCAGCCCCAGAGTTGCACCTATTTATGGCTTATGATAGTTTACATTTATAACACTTTGTAACATCAAAATGTGATTTCTGTCAATCAAGGCAGTAATCATAAAAATCAAATTAAACCACCTTAAATTCTTTTTGGAAAAAGGTGTTACATAAATATATTTCAATAAATAAAATGAATTATTAAGTCAATTAGTAATACTTCCTTAGTTGTTTATATAAGCCAGTAAGGGCTCTTCCCTGATTCTTAGCCTCAACACGGTACCACAGCTCACGCTCTGGTACATTCCCCTACTTCTCATCTTCCACAGCGGTGCAGCGAGGTATAGTAATTCTTAGCCCCTAGTCATTATATATATAAAAAATACCAACCTTCCTCTCTATTCAAACCCACAAATATAGCAAAAATAATTTTAATTCAAAAATCTGTTTGCTATAGGGAAATTTAAAACTAGAACAACAGGATAGAAAAGTAGACTTCTCTGAATCAGTTTTCAAAGTTCATCAAATGACCCTCAGTCTCCTCCAAGACTCTTCTTAAAGTGATCCTAGGACTTGTTTGATGAGAATAATGCAAGGATTGCTGAAAAAATAATAATAGAATATTGCCATATCATATCACATTGTTTCTCAAATAATGGTACAGAAGATTAGGTGGTACACCGATGGATTATTTTAAATTTCAAAGTTATATATTTATTTTCATGGAAGTTAGAATAAACATAATTAGCATATAAAACTCATAATTTCCATAAATAATATTTCCTAGGACAAGGCTAAAAACTCTGAGTCCCTTTAAAGAAAAATATTAAGTAAACACTAAATATGGTAAAAACTGTAGAGGAAGCACACAAAAGACTGAAGTTTGAGAAATAATGCTCTTTTCTGTTTATTTCAAGTTTATGTGACTGGTTACACTACATCATTGCCTTGATTAATCAACATTTGTATAATTTAAAAACTTTACCATAAAACTTACCGGTGAATAATTGCAGGTTATTTCCTATAGGATTTCTGGTCATTAAAAAAAAGTTTTATATCAGATTTGGAACATGACTTATATAATCTTGTTCATAAAATAAATTATTTTCACTATTTATAACCTCTCCTGGGAATATAATATGCTACTAATTTAAGGTCTAAATTTATTTGGTTTCTATGCATTAAAAGTTTATTATAAACTTTCTCTTCACTATGAATAATTTGATGTATGAATGGGATGAAAAGGTCTGACCAAAAATTTTCCTACATTTATATATTCACACGATTTCCCTCCCCATGAATTACGTGGTGCTGAGTAAGTGAAGGACTGTGGCTTAAGGTTTCCTCACATTTATTATATTCACATAATTTCTCCCGAGTATGGATTTTCCTATGTTGATTAAGGTGTGCACTCTGGCTAAAGGCTTTCTCACATTCATTACATTTATAGGGTTTCTCTCCTGTATGAGTTCTCTCATGCTGATTAAGATGTGTCCTCTGGCTGAAAGCTTTCCCACAAAAACTACACTCATAAGGTTTCTCTCCAGTATGAAGTCTATGATGTTCAGTAAGGGATGTGATACGGCTGAAGGCTTTCCCACACTGACTACATTTATAGGGTTTCTCCCCAGTATGAATTCTCAGATGTTGAGTAAAGGACGAATGTTGACGGAAGGCTTTCCCACATTCATTGCATATAAAAGGTTTTTCTCCGGTGTGAATTCTCTGATGTTGAATAAGATGTATCCTCTGGCTGAATCTTTTCCCACATTCATCACACTTGTAGGGCTTCTCTCCTGTAAGGACTATCTGAGGTTGAGTAAGAGACGAGTTGTGGCTGAAGGCCTTCCCACATTCACTGGGTTTCTCTTCAGTATGCATATGATTAGTAAGAAGAATATGTTGATTGAAGATTTTTCCACACTCATTATATTCATAAGGATTCTCTCTTACATAGTTTCCTTGATAGTAAACCAAGTCTGAATTATATTTGATGCTATTTCCTTGTGTGTCAGAATTAAGGGGTATTTTAATTGAAGGAATTCTCTGATGCATAATAAGGTTTGAGTTCAGATTATAGTTTTCCCCAAATCTATTACATTCAAGGCTTCTCTCCTGTGTGATCTTTTTGTGGGTGAAAGATACTTGTTCTAAATATCTCTCTTGGTTTTCTTGGTTCAATTCTAACTGGTACTCAAAATCCCAAAGTCTTCCTAAGATGGAGTACCAGAAACTGTCTCCTGTTAGTCTCTCCATCATCATGTCGTGGGTTTGATTTTCATCAGAAATATTCTGATTTGGAGTTGATTTTTTGATTTCAGGTGTATTCTCTCCATCTAAAAGAAATTCAGAAAATACACATACTTTGCAGTATTCTCTATGTTTTAAAAGAGAAATTGTTGCACAATGAATTACCAAATAAAACGGACAGTAATGCGGACAAGGCATATGTGGCACTGAAAGTTTTAAAATATGGCTATGTAACAAGGGGAAAGACTACAAAAGGATGACAAGAAGCAGTGAGCAAAGGGAAATTTTAAAATGTGCAGTAATCATAAAAAAAGAGATCATCTAGGAGCATCCACGGTTGAAAGGAAATGAAAAGGAGAATAAGAAATATCAGAGAAAAGTCTGTGTTCACAGGTGGGAGATATTAGAAAGAAAGACTGTTCTTAGAGAAGACAGGCCCTGAGTCCAGATCTTATAAACCTCATCTGTGGATTACTGTAATACCAGCTACTTGTTTATTTAAAAAGTATTTCTTCCTATTTTCAATCTTTTGTTTAAAATAATAAAACTAATACTTGATTATATTAACATACTCAAATAATGTGGAAATAAAGTAAGAATTCCACTCCCTAGAGGTAATCATTGTTAATAGTTTGGAGCCTACCATGCCAGATTCTTCCTGCTTCCTATATATTTTTTTTTTGAAATGAACATTTTTCTTTTTTTCTTTTAAATTTTTTGTATATTGCAGTAACATTAGCTTATAACATTGTATAAATTTCAGGTGTACATCATTATACTTCTATTTCTGCATAGATTACATCATGTTCACCACCCAAAGACTAATTACAACCCATCACCACACACATGTGCCAAATTATCCCTTTCGCCCTCCTCCC